ATTGAAAAACACAAAATGACGACCAAACATATAACACAATTCTATACGGACATTTTCTACTGAAGTAACTATTTTCAACCCATACGATCTATCTAGTACAGACCTTAGCCATAACGCGTCGCGTAACTTGACCAAAACCATAAACCTAATCAATAACTGTAAAAAAAAAATCTTAATCAATTATACAGGCCTGATGGATTTCGCACCACAGTTAATCAATAAAGCAAATTATTTTAGAGAATAAACACAAAAGAAGGATTTTTAAAACAGTTGTCTTCTCCTGGGTCAAACAACACACACCGCAAACAAAGGCTTACAATGTTGTAGTTGGGAAATGAAATAAACCTAAACTTAACCCAAATCAAAGTGAGTGGGACACGAAAGCTTTAAACCACGCACACTTTCACGTTCGGAACTTGTTGAGTTCGTTAGAGGTTAAATTTAGCCTAGATCTGCACCTTAACACCCCCGGTATGTCCACCTTTCCTCACCCCTCATCACTCACCAGCTAGAAACACCCCCACCCCCATCCTCCCCCACCCCCGGACAACACTGTCTTCACCTAATTGCAGAAACCCCCGAGTCGGCGAATCATCAGATCTACCTTTTCAACTTTTTACTTTTTTAATAATTATATTTTTACGCTCGGCTCTCCCTTTCGTAATGTGCCTGTCGGGTCTTACCCACCCCCTGTGTAGCTTTCCGAAAATGTAAGTTACAACGAGCGGAGGGCGAGGTTATTTATCTAAAAGGAGGGGTGTTAGCTTAGATACGTTTGAGTAATTATAATGTTCACGATAACACTGGTATAATTCATACAGGGCGTTCGTCACTTCAGTAAATTCAAAAAATATATATTTAGATGAGCCGGGGACGATAATTATGGGATGTTTGGTGCTTGCTTTACTGAGTTGGGAGAGTGGTAGTGGATTGTGGTTGTGGAGAATGTATTGTAGTACTGTAGTACTGTACCTGTCGATGTGTAAATGTTAAAGTGAATAGTTCATTGGGGAAATGATTATATGATTGTGGAACTGAATGTGGGTTGTGGAAGTATGGAATTTGGAATTTAGAAGTAGATGTGGATTATAGTTGTGAATATGGATTGTAGTTGTGAATATGGATTGTAGTTGTGAATATGGATTGTAGTTGTGAATATGGTTGTGAAAGTGAATGTATGATTGTAGAAGTTAATGTGGATTGTGGAAGTTAATGTTGATTGTGGAAATTAGTATGAATTATGTGAGTGAATATATGATTGTGAGAGTGATTATAGATTGTGTAAAAACACTTGATCGTGGAAGTGAATGTGGATTATATGAATTAATATGGTGGATTGGGGAAGCGAATATGGATGGTGGAAGTATGTGGATTGTGGGAATGAATATATGATTGTGGATGTGAATGTTGATTGTAGATGTGCGTATGGATCGTGGGATTGAATATGGATTATGGAAGTGAATATTTGATCGTGAAAGGGAATGTTGATTATGGGATTGAGTATGGATTGTGTGAATTGAATATATGATTGCGTGAGTGAATATTCGATTGTGGGAGTGAATATATGATTGCGTGAGTGAATATATGATTGTGGAAGCGAATGTGGATTACGGGAGTGAAGTGCTGTAAAATGGACAGGATCTTGCGACCTTTGACCTCTCATTAAACATTAATCGTACCTGCGCGAACATCCCAATATTTGTTGAGTCGGTATCGCCAAGCCTGTCACAAACACCTGCTTTTTGTCACAAACACAAGTTAACATGTGTGTACTGTGCATTGATCAAGTGTCAGCTCACGACTTTGTTGCAGACGACAACAGACAGCTCATCACACAGGCGGGGACAGTCAGCTCAGCCATACGCTAAGTCTAGATCACACTGTTCGTAAGCTTTCTTTTCATTCTCGTCCCTTTTAGTCTAATCCTATTGCACTGTTCCGTCAATACAGTAAGCCTACTACAGTCTGTTATATTATCCTATTGCATTTTCTATCAATACAGCAAGCGTACTGATTTACATTATCCTTGCATTTTTCGCAGTTATATAATCCTATTTACATGTTAAACATTTAGGCCCATGTGTAAGCAGTATCTTCGTTGTTTGACTCTTGATACAATCAAACAATATCTTGGTAAAATAATTATACAATCTTCTAATACAACATCCCATTAAAAAGTCTTCCTACTCTAAGCCCCACTCAAAACCCAGTCTAAACCTTCCCATGCTCTGATACGCTTTCAACCTGGCGTCCAAAAGACAGATGAAGTAGAGTTCGCTTGTTTCTCTTACCTCGGCACTGATATTTTCCCTAACGTGTGTCAGGTACCCATCAGAGCTGAGTGGACTCAGTAACATCCTTTTGACTTGAACCCGTTCTCATGCTAAACCCCATTTAAAACTCCATTTGAAACCACCCTTCGCTAAAGCCCATTTAAAACCACCCCACGCTAAACCCCAATTAAAACCACCCCACGCTAAACCCCATTTGAAACCACCCCACGCTAAACCCCATTTAAAACCACCCCACGCTAAACCCCATTTGAAACCACCCCACGTTAAACCCCATTCAAAAGCATCACATGCTAAATCCCATTCACAAGACAGCATTCCCATGCTTAATCACGTGACCTGAATTGTCCAACCCCAGCAGATAGTTCGCCCTCTGATAAAACCCCGCATCTCCACCTGTAGATGTGCTAAACAACAGTACTAACATCCAAAAAGTGGAAACATCCATGTTTGTTTGATGCACATCTGACATTGTTGAGTTGGTTTAAAAAAACAAATTAACAGGTCCAGTGGAATAATTCAACCAGCTCCCATTACAAAAAAAGCCATACGAACCCTTACATAACATATCTCCTCCCCCCACCCTGTATTACCTCCTACCCTGTATTACCTCCTATAATTTCCAGCCTACCATTCACTATGCAGCACTAACCACCAGCCTGTATCTACCATCCCCCCACCCGGATAAAATCTACCTTCCATCCAACCTCCCAAACCTATCATTCTTTATCCCACTCACCACATACCTCCCTAAACCTATCCTTCTAGATACACCTACCACCTAGCCTACCAAACCTACACTTCTTTTATCTTACTAAACCTACCCACCTACTAGTTTCCTAAACCTATCCTTCTAAGCCTGCACTGTATTCTACTAAACTAGATTACTTCCAAAACCTATCCTCCTAAACCTACCCACCACCTAGTTTCTCAAACCTATCCTCCTAAGCCTGCACTGCATTTTACTAAACCTACCCAACATCTAGCTCACTAGACCTACCCTCATAAACCTATCCTCCTAAACCTCCCCACCACCTAGCAGTCTAAAATCTCAAATACGGCGTTTTGTCCGACCACGACCCGGTTAATCTTGAAGTCTACTCGGCCCCACCTAAAGCGCCCCTTGCGCCCCCTCCCACAAACCACACACCGAGTTTTTACTATCGAACCCTCCTCCACTCTTCCACCCTCCTCCACCCTCCCACCCTCGAACAGCCGAGAAATCTAGTTACGACTAGGAAGACGAGCGCCTGACCTGGGAGGTATACCGGCACGCGCGTGAACACAGAGGTAAACACACCCTCGTGAACTCAACACTCACGCCAAATGACGACAATACGAAACGTTCGTGGATTATTTCCCTTGACCTACAATCGGGAGTGAACTCCCTTTTTTTAAACACACTGCTTGAGTCAGCCGAAGAATAACCCTCACACCGAGTGGGTTCTAAACGACTTCCTATTTAGTCTGAATCACCCCCTCCCCATCCCACACCCACACCCCGCGGAGATTTTTTAACTCGAAGTTTGTCTGTTGGGGGTGTGATGAAGCTAAGTGAAGGATGTCGTGTTGTTGTTATCATGTATAAAAATTAAATTGCTTTTTTTTTAATGTAACGATAATTATATTATAATATATAATACGTATTTGAAAATTACTTTTTGAAATCAATAAATAATTATGAAAACTTTTTTTCTATTTTCTAAAAAAAAAAAAAAAAATTGTCTGGTTAGACTTCCTATAACTGTATAGGCCTACAGTATGAGGACCACTTCATAACTCCCCCCCCCCCCCACCCAAAAAGAAAAAAATAACCCCAGGCTTGACCATGGACACGTGACCCGACTTCCCAGATTTGGACCAATCAGCGACCCGCTATTGTTTTAGGCCGTTTCGCTAGTTTAGAGGGAAGTATAACAAAAATCTTATCTAACCACTTCACCGTCGCGGGGGGCAAAGGTCACGGCCGTCTACCCGGCCACAATTTCGATTGGTCTAGAAATGAAATCCCTGTGGGGGCATTCCTCAAAACAGTTGAGGGGGTGGGGGTGGGGGGAGACAGAAAGTGAACTTAACCGGTTATGGCAAATTTTGCCTTACTTAAACCGGGGAACTTTGCATCCACGTGGTTGTGATGTAACGCCACAGAAGATATCAATCGGTACAACCAATCTCCTATCTGATGTCGACAGTGGTTCTCAAACTCTGAGGAGGTCTAGCCCTAATACATGCTGTTTTTTAAATCATTACCATAGCATGCTCCTGCCTCAATGTTTGTGTAGTTCGTTTTATCACATCTCTTCTATAAATTTTTTTTTATATTGTATTTTAATGTTTCTTAACCCCCCCCCCCCCCCCCCATCCAAACCGCTCCAACTTGTCCATTCTATTTACATATGTTCAACATGTATTGAGGTTTAAAAGGCTTTTGAAGAGAGAAAATAAACTTATTTTTTTATTGCTTGGTACTCCTAGTTATTTTTAAGTTAACACATGACGAAGATAATGTGACATGTATGACATGACATCCGAATAAATGATCTGTGTATTGAGTTTTAACGAAGATTTGAACTCTTACCTTTCAGGCCAACTGAGTGAATGGTGTGTGTATTGAGTTTTAACGAAGATTTGAACTCTTACCTTTCAGGCCAACTGAGAGAATGGTGTGTGTATTGAGTTCTAACGAAGATTTGAACTCTTACCTTTCAGGCCAACTGAGTGAATGGTGTGAGGTACTCGGCCAGTCTTTATTGCTGCGCCACCCCAAGAATCGACCCCCTGACGGCAACAAAGGTCAGCCACCACCCAGCGCCAGCAGCATGCACCCGCAGATGCACAAGGCCATGCAGCCGATGCACCCTGGGTAAGTCAGACGACGTGTGTCTAGCACATGGCCATATCCTGTCCAGCACATAGCAATGTCCTGTCCAGCAGTTAGAAATATCTTGTCCATCACATGGCCATACATTGTCATTGATGGCCACTACATGTAGGTGTTAATGGTCAACAGATTCCCAATGGCCAAGACTTCTAGTGAGTCATGGGCCAAGAATCCCTTCCATAACATTCTACAACCCAATATGCTCTAGTTTACATCTCCCATCCCGTGTCATCTTTTCTGGTGTAGTTTATATCTCTAGGCATCCACACATACTCACACACTAACCAGCACCTTGGTCAAATGATGTACTCACACAACTACTGTGTGGTCAGATGGTAGAGCACATGAGTTCGGATCCTGGGGTCACACACTGACCAGCACATTGGTCAAATGATGTACTCCCACAACTACTGTGTGCTTATGGTCAGATGGTAGAGCACATGAGTTCGGATCCTGGGGTCGGGTCTGATGATCCTTGCAATGTGAGTCATCTATTCATGGACGATTCACAAATACACTCATGCATTTCTCGGAAGGTTGTGATCAATTAGTGTTAAATTAGCAAGTCCACACAGACACGAGCAATATAATTACGTTATACTTCTTTTCCTAAGTCTTAAAAATGTAGTAATCTGAAACAAAATTTATCGTTAGCTTTACCAACGTGGAGTTTTAACGACTGATACCGAACTATGAGGCTATAATAGTTAGGGTTGTAATTCAAACATCGTTGGTAATGAGGGCGTTATGTATATATAACATAACTCGCCGCATGTGTCCGTCAAGGTTTATGAAGTATGATTATGAGAATCGCTGGGTGAAGCAGTACCCTACAGCCCCTCGTGAGAACCGTCTAGATACCTCCACTCTCACCTACTAGAGTTGGGTGTTGAAATCACCAACTTATGCCCGCCCCGTACCGTGTCAGACCTAGTAAACTGCCCTCTAGACTCTCTGCTCCAATTCAACGGCGATTACCGCCCCTGTGTTCACTCTTCTGTTGATCATTTCTTGAGAGGTAAGGGACAACGCGTGCCCGTTATGGGGTCATAGTCATCACTGGGGTGGAGTTGGAGGGGGAGGGGGGTCACGGATGGTGGGAAAAACAAAAATGTTATTGTGTGGTTGACGAGGTGAGGGGTATTGTGGTGGATGTATTGGTAGGTGAATGTATTGTTAGACAGATCGAGACAGTCGGCGAAAGTTTTGTTAGGCAGATCGAGACAGTCGGCGAAAGTTTTGTTAGGCAGATGGAGACAGTCGGTGAAAGTTTTGTTAGTTGGATGGTGAATTTACTAGTCTGCGAAAGTAAGGCCTGGTTGTAGATTGAAAGATTTAGACTAGTTAAATGACTGTAGCCACTGATATGTTGCTCCCCGTGAACACTTCGTGTTGGGGCCATTAGGACATTTCACCACACACTTCGAACATAACCCACACACCGCGAACTTCCCCACACACCTCAAAGATCCCCATACACCTGCATCATCACCCACACACCACGAATTTCCCAACACACCTCAAACATCCCCACACACTTGGACCATCACCCCACACACCTACATCACCACACACCTCTCCACACAACGCTTGCCCACACGATCCAACCATTGTAAAGACACTAGCTCCCAGTTCTATATTTAGATCGTAAAGGGTTAAGAGAGTGCACTAAATGCCCCTGTCTTCGTTTTTCGACTAGTTCCCTCACTTAGTGTGTAAGAAAATACTGTCCCGTTAACACTTTTCTTAGCGTTGGTTACAGTGGTGTATCAGCTTCACTAATGGTGTGATGGGGGTTGCTGGATTCGGCCCTGGGCAACGGTGGGGTGGGGTGTAAAAGTAGGCAAGGCGCCCCATGGCGTGGTCATGTGCTTACACTTTCTGTGTGCTGACTTGGTTTAATTTTAACTAACATACGTCTATAGTTTAACACACAGAAGACGCACCAAGATTAACACACAACAGACGCCCCAAGATTAACACACAACACATGCCCAGAGATGAACACTAAACACAACACATGCCACTAGTTTAACACGCGACATCCCGCTTCGTCGTGTTTCACTCGAGACCTTGACATTGGCCCTACTTACCATTGTTTATACTTACACGCGCCGCTAATAATTCACCCACCAAAAATGGGGGGAGGGGGGGGGGGGGTTAACTGTCACATGCAGTATAAGGGTGTTCGCCACTGATCAACATAAATAAACGTCGCTACTTAAACTTCAAATAAACAAATACTCGAGCACACAGCTAACTTTTTATAACACCTCTGGTTATTATCCTACCATATTTAGTGTAAAAACTTTGTTTTGTTTTCACATGAAATGTATAGTCAATATAATGTCACGCTACCTGATAATGATGTCACGTTTTGTCAACAGCTGTGTCACGTCCGTCCTCAACGTGGCATTTTTTTTCGTCTACTTTCGCCTTACTTTTAAAAGACACTGACGTCGCCTAGCTCGTTAATTACGTCATGTAATTAATTGAATTGAAACCGTTACAATCAGGCTTGTCTCGAAAAATCCTTTGTATAATGTAATTTTTAAATTCACCATGCAAAAGTTACCGTTACAGTTGCATAAAGTGGTTTGTTAAGGAAATGATCTCATTATAGAATCATTAAATATTTGATCATCTTTCTCGTATTGTTTTTTTAATAAAACTCACATAAACAAAGGGAAGCAATACGGGTTATAGGTCACTCCCCTTGAGATGAGTTGTCTTCCCCACCCCCTAATCCCCCACAAAGGTCGCAGTCATTATTGAGACTACAGGAGAATTTCCTTGGAATATCTGATCACATGCCCAACACGGCCACGGTGCTCCCAACATTGAGATCGAAGGTCAAAGGTCAAGTTGTTTTAGAAAAGCCGGTGAAGGGGTCAGACGATTGTAATTGACAGATTCATATGTTGTGTATCTTATGTGTTTTACTTGTTCTCTACTTGTTCTCGTAGTTATATGTTTTAAAATTTACTTCTCCTTAATTTTTGTCGTTAGCCAAACGTTTTTGTTCTTAGACATGTTCTCTCACTTCTTGCTATACTCCCTTCCCCCCCCCCCCCCCCCCCCCATAGTTAAAATGTTTTCTGTTTTTGTTTATATGTACCATGTTATGTCACTTACCTGGTTACACTTGTTAAAAAAAGTGTAATACACTTAAGCTTACCTGGCCACCACCACTGTCAATTGTTTACCTGACTACACCTTATTGACAGTCAGTCACCTGGGCCTGGCCTGACCCCCCCCCCCCCACCCGCCATCTCACCTGACCACCACCACCACCTCACCTGACCACCACCACCATCTCACCACCACCACCACCATCTCACCTAACCACCACCACCTCAGCTGACCACCACCACCATCTCACCACCACCACCACCATCTCACCACCACCACCACCACCATCTCACCTAACCACCACCATCTCACCTGACCACCACCACCACCACCAATCGTCTACCTGACTCCACCTTATTAACAGTCACCTGGGCCAGGCCTGACCACCACCACCACCACCATCACCACCACCACCACCACCACCAACCGTCTACCTGACTCCACCTTATTGACAGTCACCTGGACTAGGCCTGATGGTGACCTTTTGTCCCAGTAGTGCTCCGACTGTCAGTACCGGATCGTGATAAGCAACAGGTCACATGACTGGATACACGTCACGTGACTAGCATGCAGGGGGGTGACGTGACTCTTCAGTGATGTAGTCCCCAGCGTGCTCCGCTACCATCACACATCTACCATCCCATAAATACTATCTCGTCAATACCATTTTGTCTCTACCATCTCACCTTTACCATATCACCATTACTATCTCACCACTATCAACTCCCCATTACCATCTCACAATTACCATCTCACCACAACCATTCCACCACTACCATCTCACCACTACGATCTCACCACTACCATTATGTCACACCCATCTCGCTGGTACCATCACTTGACTTAAGCAACGACCAAATGGCTGTATCTTTTTTATGTGACCGTATCTAGTCAGTTTAGTGATGTTTTCCTCGACATATTCCTTTAACACTAATTATTAATTAGCTTCACTAAGCATGACATTTGCATTAGTTTACCTTGGAATAAATAACACGTTAGTTTGATAGTTGGAAAATGGATGTATTACTATAGATTAAGGCTAATCCATTCGACAAGGTTTGTTTTACTGGCTGTCACCAACTTAAGGCCAACACAAGACAAGGCTAAGCTAAGTTATGGATAAACATACGATGATGGGAGTGTGTGAGGGCGGGGGTGGGGGTGGAGCTAATGAAAGCTATTTTTATTTTGAAACTAGATCTCATCGATTTTACCTGTTTTTTTATCCAAGTAGTTCATATCGTTGCCTTAATTTGGCAGATATGCCATGGCAGATCTGCCCTAATTACAATTAATAAAACCACGTTGCCGGTGGTAACAAGGCCACCTTCTCGGCCCGCCACGAAAGCTTATATTCCCCATTATTCACTGACTGCAGGGTGAAATCCTAACGCACTTAACCTGCCCCGTTTAAGAATTAATTTATGCTGGCCTACATTAGTTCGCCCCATTTGCACGCACCCAAACAGCCGTTACAGTTGCAATGAAGCAGAGCACGAGTCTATCTCTTCAGTCTGTGCCCCCTTGTTGTCTCCCTGTATGCCCCCCTCTCGCCGAGAGTGTTATCTCCCCTTTGTTGATTAGATTGAGCGAGTGGTTTTGACTTGTGCAGAGAGCGTACGACGGCTGCACTTTTAAGACGAGTCCCTCCGCCCTTTGTGGTTCCATGCAGTCAGGAATCAATGCCTGGTACAGGCACCAGCATGACGCGTTAGTGGTACGTACAACCTGTTGGGGGGGGGGGGGGGGTCGTTGGTAAAACTGGGGTTGTCACTGGTTAAACTGTGGGGTTGTCACTGTTTTAACTGTGGGGTTGTTACTGGTTTAACTGTTGGGTTGTCACTGGATAA